AGTTTGTACACATGATCAGGACACTCCTTGATTTCAAATCCCGGAGGTTGCTTGACAAACACTTCTTACTTTAAATAGCCATTGAGGAAGGCACTTTTGACGTCCATCTGGTGAAGACGAATTCCATGTATGTAGCAAAGGCTATGAGGAGTCTTATTTCTTCCAACCTTGCAACTGGAGCAAAGGTCTCATCATAGTCTATGCCATCCTCTTAGCTATATGCTTGAACCACCAATCTTGCCTTGTTCCTTGTAACCGTTCCATCTTCATTAAGTTTGTTTCTGAAGACACATTTTGTGCCAATTACTGATCTGTCGTTGGGTCTTGGTACCAGATGCCAAACTTATTCCTTTCAAATTGGTTGAGTTTATCTTGCATTGCATTTACCCAGTTTGCATCCTGCAAAGCTGCAGCAACATTTTTAGGTTTAATAAGATATAAGAAGCATCAAAAGCACAAAGATTCTTTAATGAAGATCTGGTTTTAATTCCAGAGGTCGGATCAGTAATTATGTTCTCAATGGGATGAGAACTTTGGTACTTGTAAGGTTTCACAACCAGCTGGATTCCTCTTGATGTTTCTCCAATGTTTTGTTGCTGAGGAACAGGTTCATGGACAGGTTCCATCGAGGTATGAGATTTAGTTCCTCTTTGTTCAGTTCCCCCTGTCAGGTTGCCCTGAGTAGAATAACCTGTTCCATCACCCGCTCCTTCTTCTGGTGCAGCTTCAGCCTGGGATGTGATTTCATTTATGTTTCTTACCAGCTCAATTGCTTCAACTTCATGTTCCTGTCTCTCAGAAAAAATGTTAGTCTCATCAAAAACCACATGTACACTTTCTTCTACACACATAGTTCTTTTGTTATATGCCTTATAAGCTTTACTATATGAAGAATATCCCAAGAATACTCCCTCATCACTTCTGGGATCAAACTTACCTAGGGAGTCTTTACCATTATTGTGCACAAAGCACTTGCATCCAAATGCCCTAAGATGGGATATATTTGGTTTTCTCCCTTTAAATAACTCATAGTGAGTCTTCTCTACAACAGAGACAATCATACACCTATTGATGATGTAGCATGCAGTATTTACAGCTTCTCCCCAGAAGCTATGGGGCAGTTTACTAGAAAGAAGCATAGTCCTAGCCATATCTTCAAGTGTCCTACTCTATCTTTCAACTACTCCATTTTGTTGTGGAGCCCTAGGAGCAGAAAAATTATGATTTATGCCATGCTCATCACAAAATTCAACAAACTTAGCATTTTTAAATTCAGTTCCATGATTAGACCTAATTGATGCAAGTTGATTACCTAGTTGTTTCTGAGTTTTTCTAACAAAAGAAGTAAACATGTCAAATGTTTCATCTTTAGATGTTAAAAACAATGTCCAATAAACCTGGAGTAATTATCAACAAACACCATCACATATCATTTACCACCTCTTCTTAATGTTCTCATTGGACCATAGAGATCCATATGGACTGGTTCCATCGTTCTAGTGGTGCTTACCACTTGCACAAGCCTCACAAACTTTTTCTTCCTTGAACTTAATGTTAGGCAGCCCTATCACCAGGTCTTTGGAGGCTAATTTGTTGAGTTGACTCAGACTTGCATGTCCAAGTCTCTTGTGCCAAAGGAGGGGATCATTCTCCAACACACTTAAGCAAGTGAGTTATTTTTCTAAAAGTGTGGACAAATCTACAATGTATATATTTTTTACTCTTTTTCCTTGTAAAACAATCTTGTCAGTGGTAAGATTAATCACAAAACATTTGGTAGAGGTGAATGCTACCAAGTTACCTCTATCACACAATGGTGATACACTAATTAGACTGTATTTTAGGTCATCTATCAAGTAGACATTCTCAATAGAGTGAGAATCAGTCTTACCTACCTTTCCAACCCCAATGATCTCACCTTTCTTCCCATTTCCAAAGGAAACATTTCCTTCTTTGAGGTCCTCAAGTGAAGGGAACCGGTTCTTGCTTCTTGTCATATGCTTTGAGCAACCACTATCCATATACCATATTTGGCTGCTCCCCTTCACTTGGACCTCAGATTCCTCATCAGATTCTCCAATGGCCATAAGTGCTTGTTCATCTCCATCTTCATCATATGAGCTTTCTTCCCAAGCAGCAACCATAGCCTTTGTTGATCCTTTGTTCTTCTTGGGTTGAACCTGTTCCTTCTTCCTGTTTCTTCGTTCAGCTCTTTCCTTCTTCCATTCAATTTCCCATTGAGGGCAGTTTTTGATGTGGTGATCAATCTTCCCACACTTGTAACACCCCTTATTGGTTTGCTTTTCAGGAACCCTTGGTTTGCTGTAGCTTCGACTTCTTGAAGGACCCTTTCCTCTCATTAGGTACTTCTTGAAGTCCTTTGTGATCATGGCCATTTCATCATCTTCTAGTTCAGAACCTTCAGTGATTCTGAGTGTCGGGCTCTTTTCCTTCTTGGGTACATCCATCTTCATGGTTTTCCTTCTAAGTTCATAAGCAGTGAGATTTCCAATTAGCTCATCCAACTTAAGAGTGGCGATGTTCTTTGATCCCTGAGTGGCAGCGATTTTGTCTCCCAAGTGACTAGCAGAACCCTTGTCAAAATTTTCTCAACTCTGTCTTCTTCAGGAATAATCCTTCCAAGAGACTTAAGTTCATTTGTTAGTGTGGTGAACCTTGTATACATCTCCTGGATGGTTTCCCCTTCCTTCACGGTGAAATTCTCATGTTGAGAATACAGTAGTGTTCCTCTGGACCTTCACTTGAGGTGTTCCTTCATGAGCCACTTGCAAAGTGTCCCAGATTTCCTTAGCAGTGGTACAACTTTGAATTCAACTGTACTCGTTTGGACCAAGTCCACACACAAGCCATTTCTTGGCCTTAGCATTCTTCTCCCATTTTCTCAAGTCCTCAGTAGTGCAGTCAACTCATGTTTTTGGCACATCTACTCCTTTAACATTCTTCTTCATGGTCCAAGGGACCATTAGTGACAATGTCCCATAGCTCATAGTCTTCTCCGATGATGTGATCTCTCATCCTGTTTTTTCACCAAGAGTAGTACTGGCCATTAAAGAGTGGTGGCCTAGTAGTGGATTGCCCTTCCTAGTTTCCAGGTGGTGCACTCATCTAGATCTGTTCCTAAGGTGTTAGCTTCTTCAAGGATAACCTGCTTTGATACCAACTGATGTTTTAACTTCAATACCACACAAGAAGGGGGGGGGGGGGGGTGATTTGTGTGGTGTCCAATTTTTCGCTTAAACTAATTATGGAAGGACCTGGTTCTTCTAAGTTTTCCTTAACCTACTATTGCTGAAATAGTAAATGCGAAAAGTAAAGAGCACAAGTATTTTACGTGGAAAACACCTGGCTCAAAAGGTGAAAAAATCACAACCTACTTTCCAGTAGGATTTTTCCAAACTCTTCAGTAAATGACTGAGCCAAAAACTGCATTTACAAAACACTTTTGTAAACCTAGGATTAACTCTAATCTCATTTTGGCAAACAGCCTCTAACTGTTGTGACAATTTTAAGTTAACTCTAACTTGAATACTCTGAGTACCTATTACAATTGCCTCTAGATAAAGCTGAAAGGTACAATATGAAAACACCTGCTACAATTGAACTAGAATAAAAGACTGACACTTGGAACTAGTTCTTCTATCTGGTTCATGTAGCTTCAGGTTTGCACACTTGAATTACACACGAACTGCTTGCAAAATGCCTTGCTATTTTGCCCTCAATTCACGTTTAACTTATGCGTTTGTGCATTACTTGTAAAATGAGAACATGCTACAATATATAGAGTTAGTAGATGAAGAAATAACTAGAGTTCTAATGCTACTCTTCCTTGGTGGAAGAGTTCTAGTTGATCTCAACTTCTAACTCCTTCCTTATCTTGGATAATGTTCTCTTTGAGTAAGGAGTCCTTCTCCTTATCAATTATGCAACCTTTTCGATCAGGAGATATCAATTATGTCAAGTTAAGTTTATCTCCTTCACGTGCATCCCACATGCTCGAATCTGCCCGTGTCTATGCACACAAGGGATGGACCTGGTTCATGCCTTAGGTTCCTTTGTCAATCTTCAAAACTAACCTTCACTTGGGCCAACAAAATTAGATATAAATTTCAAAGGATATTCCCAATCATTTTACAAGAAAACCCTATATCACAAAATTTGACTTTCGAATTTAAAGCTTTGAAGTTTCTTAATATGCACATATATAACTAGTAATAAGTCCGTCGATTTGATTATCAGTGGTGTAATTGGTTACATGTTTTGCTCTACCGAAGGTCCAGAAGTTGACTTCAAGAATCCTATGAACTTTATCAACAAAAGAACTACCTTTCTCAAGTCCAAGGGACCTTTGAAGTTATGTAATTTTCCCGGGGGACTTTTTGGTATTGGGAATTTGGTTGAGGAAGAAGAGGGAGAAAAAATAGGTAAGATCAGATTATAATGCGTATTTTGTATATAATTAGCAAATTGTAGACCAACTTTAATTAAGCTAAAATTTAAATATTAAGGGTAAAAAAGTTTTAAAAATAGTATAAATAAGTAAAAATCTCATCTGTTCATGTCAGAAAGTCCTACACTAGGTGTACAACATTCTCTAACAAAGGTGATTCCTACCAATGCTGAGACCATGAAGGAATACAAAGTCTTTGATTTTCCTAAGCTAACACCTATTAGGGGATTGCATGTTGACTACACTCATGATGATTTTCCATCGTTGTCGTTTGCAAAATTATAAGCTCCGTTTTAGTTGTTGAGCTAACGTAGTTGCAATTCAACAAGTTTGATGATTGTTGGTATATATGCTTTTCTTTCTTCTAGATTTCGTTCACTATGAAGTGGTCCAAAGCTAAGCTCATTTGACACACTAGGTGGTGCTGGCTCATGCCAGCATGGGCCCAATATTATAAAAGTTGGAACAACTATTTTTTATCAACTTTGTTTTGATATAAAATGGCAGAGAAGAGAGCATCACATAACTTTGTTTTGATATGAAAGAGAAATAGATACATGTAACAGATTACATTATTTAAACTACTGCAATATTTGCAAGAACCATAATTTGGATGAGTACAAAATCTACATAGTACTCTTTTGGAATTATAAAATAACAATTAGATAACTTCCATGGAGGTTTGCACTCAAAGAATATATTCAAATGCTTTGAGCTGTCCTGCAGATTTTAGGTGCACACATAATTGCCCACCCTGAATCAAAATAGCTAACCGCAATGAGAAGAGTGCTCTGTATACATAGGTATGATATAGTTATTTTCTAACAAAATATGCAAAAATTATCATAAGAACGGTGTTCTTCCTATTACCATCCAGAGCAAGGGCTACTGCATCTTTTTCAGCTTTGCTCCATGTACCATCCAGAGCAAGGGCTACTGCATCTTTTTCAGCTTTGCTCCATGTCCTTGCAAGGTTGTCCCATGCATTCTGTTGAAAAATAAATTAATTTGTAAAACCTAGAAAAATACACAAAAAATAAAGAAATATGTGTATCCATGAAACTTTCAAAATTTATAGAAACTAAATAAAGAACGGGTCCATCTCTAAGACGAAATTGATACCAGCTGTCACAAATGTTCACAAACATGTACAAAAGCAATTAACAGAAGAAGCACATATGCTGAAAAATAAATTCTAGCAGACAGCAGCAATTAGTTACTCCATAACGAAAGTGAAAGTGAAAGTGACCATACCAAACGTTATGAAATTTGACACTAAAGATTCAAAAGAGAACATGCACGAGCAATCAAGCAATTTCTTCAAATTTAATTGGTCATATTTGTCATTGTTTGCCACAAAGTTACTATTCCCACTGTAACTTCAAATTAAATATCTTACATCTCTCTGTTTTTGGTCCCTTCATCTAATAGTCTCCTTGATCAAGAAGCCGATTTTTTTTGATGAAAAGGTAAAGGATTATTGTTAAATACTACCACGTTGGTACATAAGAGTACATTTGAGAAGCAAAAAAAGGTCTTCCTTCTATAAATTGAAGGAGTAACAAAGGTCTAATTGTGACTCAAAGTCTGCTACAATACCCCTCCTACATCACAAGAATAAACTTTTCAAACATCTAGATTTTACAAGTGAGACACTTCCCTTTCCATCATTGAAGCATATATCATTCCCCTCGAGCTAACTGTTCAGAAATTGTAGATTGGGGATTGTACTCTAGTAAATTGGACTCTGTGTTCTGATGGAAAAGAAGTAAAGTACTCCAAGTTAACATAGTGAGAAATCAAAATTCGATGCGTATAATTCTCAAGTTATTATGGTTAGACTCCTAATAGTTATCAGCAACTTTCAGCTCTTAAAGATATGTCAGATAACGTGACTGATTTTAGTTGATAACCCCTTCCACATTATATTTAAGCTTAAAAGTGCATACAACAAAGATTATGAGCATGTAGATTGGTTAATACTTAATACCCTGAGCAACAATCATGCTCTGTTATAGAGTCAAAGAGCATTAGCCTACATCCTTTATCTAGAAATAACATCTTCTATCATTAAACTTACATTGAGCTTATAAAACTCGTAGCAAGTAAAGGAAAGAATAGAGGAAGAAGTGATCAGTCAATGAACCATGATTGTTTAAACCATAATAAAGAAAAAAAACATAAAAGAAGTATGTAACCATTAATATTACGAATTTATGTCATGTTCTTATAAATCATAATCCGGAAAAAAGAAAATCACAGGTATGGGATCAGTAATTTTATTATATCAACTCAAATAATCTGATAAGAAGAGCTAACTATATTGTAGAAACTTCCATGAAATTATATACTCATACCTCATTTAAACCACCACAGCCTCTCGTGGCTAAAAAGTAAAGATACTAAACAAAAAGATCAAATCAGAATCAAGAATGAGCATTTTAGTGGAATTCAAATGTTCTTATAACTCATTTGTAATGATCACAGCCTCAAATGGCTCGAAGATAAGATAGACTAAGCATGGAAAATTGAAGACAAAGCTAACAACGGGCACTTTTTTTCTTTCTCATATGGAAGCTTAGTCCCTTCATTTCAGGATATGCAGATTTAAATACCGAGCAGAAAAAATTACCAGTTGCTTATGTTAGCAATGATTGCTAATTAATGAAATGTTACTGAAATAGTTCTTTGAGACTATTTGTATGATGTTGTTACGAATGGTTACTGACCTGTGCTCTCCCTCCGTCCAAGGAATATATCCGTTTGCGACTGCAAATCTGACCTTGTAGATATTCCATCATTTCACTATTTAAGTTGCCTGTACTAGAATACACTCTGATATGCGTCACCATGTTCAATAAATCCCATGCAACGGTCATCAAATGGATATTAGCTAGAAATATGGTGGTGTACCACATAACAAATTGCAACATGAGTAATACGATAAACCTGACACAAGCATCACCATCTGTGAGATTATACCAAATTCCTTTCTTTATTTGTTATTTTTTCTTGTCCGCTTCTATGGCATAAGGTTTGCCAGTCTTCAGTTTTTAAGGTCCAAATAAAAGAAAAATGAACTCGAACATTTTTAATGAAAATCTTCTTCCTTGTGCGTATGAATAGCAGTCAGATCTGTGTATGAAACACAAGTCAGGACATACCACTTCTCCATTTTGATCATTGTTGACAAATGCACCTTCCAATTGGTCTATTGATCCGAAAACCAATTGTTCTGCATAGCTATAGTAAGCGCTGCATGAGTATGGAATCTCCATATTTTGTTTGATCAAGTATGAGAAGAGTAGCTATATTCTTGCACCCACATCAATACACTAATAGATATCCAAACTTTAACCATCCAAAGTTCTACAGAACAATGTTCTCCCCGTCAATTGAAGTTTTAAGGACATAAATATTTACCATAATCATGCACAATTAGTTGTGAAGACTGCAGCAACTCCAAAATTTAACAACAATTTTTCAAGTGTTAGTGGTTGTACAATTTCATCTCCAATTAAATTCTTAAATATTTTAACATTATCGATTTTATATTTTTAGCAAAATCCTGTTATCTGACTTTAAAAAACAAGCAATTATTATCTTGAATAGGGGATTGCAATCCCCTTGAAGGCTTGTTGCGTGTTTATCCCTATCTTGTTATATGAAAAAATGAATAGAAGAGAAAAATGAAGTATGCACATTAAATTCTTTTCCGTTTATAGCTTTTTTTTTGGGTGACGAACATATGACTTCTCAATAGCCTGTGGACCTACTTTGAAGAAAGCTCAGTAGTAACAACAGTTTTTCAAGTGACTTTTATGTACATGTTATATCACAAAAATATACAGCTAGATTAAATGGAATCATGTGAATAGAGGAGAAGACTCATTATCAGATGGGCTATAGTAACTAATGTTTGTGTTTAACCAAAAAATAGATTTTTAGTCAAAGTTAGAATTTAGAAAAATACGGGTTACTGATAATCAGAAAGGTATGTAAAGAAAGAAATTTGGGAATAATATGATCAGAAAGCAAGTAAATCAAAGTATATTCCAATAGTATTTTCTTATCCCTACAATTGTTTGTTCCTTCCCCTTTTATAGCTATTTTGGGGATACGGGCCTTACCTTTGTTATAATAAGGCTATTATGAGCAATTAATGACTTTAAATGTTACGTTATGCAATCATATATGTTAAATACATATTCTCTAACGTTTCCAATATTTAATACTCATTAAATGATGTATCTGGGCTCTTTTTTGCTATCAGATTCATTCCTTTGATTCTTCACGATCTTTGACCTTTAAATGTCTTGAATAGGTACGAGCGCTGAATTACTTGTATGACTGCTCGCGCCTCCTCCATTTAACTTGTTCGTATATGTTGTTGCTCGTATCTGTTATTGCTCGTATCTGTTAACCAACCTTAATTCTTTGACTGTTTGACCAGTCTACGTGTCATGACACGTCACCATATATATATAAATACAATTTTCTCCAATACAGATAGTCCCCCCACTTTCCATTTATTCATCAGTTTGAATATTTGGGAAGTGGAATTTATTAAAGGAGAATTTTTGTCACCATTAATGCTCTGACAGAGTTGACGCTTCAATTATCACTTCCATTTAATGCTTTAGACACGTGTCATCTTCTTATTGGTTCCACAATTTTACAACACTTTCTCAGGCTTTCTTTTCGGCTCCACTGTTCATGAAGTACCAGTTACCATTATTGTTACCCTTCCATTACTGCATTTTTACTTTTGACGGTTACCCATCAGTATAAATTCAATTTTACCTTTCACTTTTTACCACGTAGAACTTTTTTCTCGAACATTTGAACTGTGCAAATCTCTGTTTACTTCTTCTTCTTCCTCATCATGTCTTCTTCGAACCCTAACCCTAGGAGAGTTCCTATTTTAAACAATTTTCCCAATGCCCCTGTTAGACATAGAAGGGGTGGGAGACTTCGTAGCTTAGGATCCTCTCGTAGTGGCGGTTCTGCCATGCCTTCTCCTAGCCCTGGTTCTTCCTCTAGAACTAGAGGTTCTTTTACCCAAAAATCATCTTCTAAGATCAAGGAGGCCTCTGAACCATTACAGGAGCCCTTGGTACAAGAGATAGTCCCTAACGATTTATCTTTTCACCATGATAGACAATCACTTCAAACCCAAGTTTCTGGTCTAGATCGTACCGATGCTTACACCACTTTGATTACAGATATTTTAGCTCCCATAGTCCACAAAGATTGTCACTGGAGTAACGATTTTACCATTGTAATCCCCAATCCAAATCAAAGAATTACCTCCTATATGACTGGACTTTCTTTTGTTTGCACATACCCCTTTACTCTTGGTTTTAAACCAGCTATTGATCCAGTGATTCTCGATTTCTGTCGCTTCTTCAAAGTTTGTTTAGCACAGATTGGCCCGCTGGTATGGAGGGCTGTTGCTTGTTTAAGACATCTGGCCAATTTGGCAGATGTTAATTTCACCTTCCCTCACCTAATTCATCTATACTCCCCTAGACTTTTTCGTAATGGCGTCTTTACCTTAGTGGCTATGAGTAATAGGGTTTTGGTGAGCCCAGAAGATGATAAGGATCGTGGATGGTATGCCCGATTTGTTGTTGCCCCCACAGTTGGTTTAGTGCGTGAACAAAACATTCACTTCCCTGAGAAGTGGAACTTTGCACGTAAGTCTCTCATCTCTCTCGTACCTTTTTCTTTCAAGTTTATCAATTCCTTTTAACTTTATTATTATTTTTTTAGCAACCATGAGAGTTATGGAGAACGTTCCCAATTTTTGTGGTTGGGTAGATAAACTGTTGAAGATCGCGCCTATGGAGGCTAGGTCTTGGAAATTTATTTCCATTCGTCACGGTTGGAAAGTAAAGACTCACGGTATGAGTTTTTGTCTTTCTCATATGTAAATTTTTTTCCCTTTATTGCTTTAACTTTCAACCTTCTCTTTGTCAGGATTTGTTATTCGAGGTGTTACTGCTGAAGCAGTTGCGGCCTCTCGTTCCTCTTCAGGAACTCGAATTTCTTTAGAGAGGGCTCAGGATATACTCTTGAAAAGAAAAAACATTGAAGAAGATGACTCCGAGGAAGAAGAGGAGGATGGTTCCTTGGTGACAAGGCCAAGAGTTAGGAGACGTATCGTCTCTGACGAAGCTGAAGTTTCTCATCATCTTTCTCCTACCGAGCCTGTTCATCTCGTTTCTGATGATGACGTTGTTACCCCTTGTGACACTCGTGACTCTATCAACCAGCTTTTCGTTAGGGTCTGTTGTAGACGAACTTCCCTTGTCTTCAACTCCCATATCTTCAATTCCTTCTTTTCCTTCTTCTATCGTGACTTTGATCCCTTCCTTACCTACTTCATCTGCTTCTGTACCTCTCTCTGCTGTTTTTACTTCTTCTACCGCTCCTCCTTTGACAGTTCCTCCTTCTACTACCCATCATACAGAAGTGGGTTCTTCAAGTAGAAGCATTGCTATGAGGAGCGTGACTATCGAAGTTCCTGCTAAGAACAACCTTTTGAGGAAATCTGGTCAGGCAGATATTTGGCTTGAGCCCCTGATTGGCCCAATTGAGAAAGAAAAATTGAATAGCCATAGCTGTCTGACTTTGATGAACGACATAGTTCATGCTACCTTGAAGGTATTTTCCTTCTTTCTTTACTTTGCAAAATTTTTCTCTAGAATTCTTATTTTTCTCCCTTATCATTTTCAGGCCAATCTCATTGGTACAGAGCTGATGAACATAGTTTCTTTATTAGAGAAGGTGGCACGTGACTCTGAAAAGGCTGTTCTTGATTCAAAGAGGGAAGCTCGTGACTTTTAGTTGGAAGCAGTTAATTGGAAGGAACAATTTGATAGTGCTCAAATTACTATAGAAGATTTTCAAGAGAACAAGAATAACCTGGAACAGCAGATAAGAGCATTAACCTCAGAGCTTGCGGTTGCCAAGGCTTCTTCAAGTCAGGCAGAGAAAGAAAGAGAGCATCTCGAGTCTTCTTTCTCAGAGCAATCTAAGGCAAGTGAGGAGATTAGAGAGTTGAAAGCTCTTTTAAGTCAAAAAGAAGTTTATGCTGGAGCTTTGATACAAAATTTGACTCAGACACAGGAAGATCTGCGAACTTCTGAGGGCAAGGTGCATGCCTTAGAAAAATCTCATGCCTCTCTCCAAGCCTCTTACAACTTAGCTTTGGCTGAAAATGAAGAACTCAAGAATGAAATTGTTATTTGGGAAAGAGATTATGAGCTTCTTGAAGATAAGGCCGCTGTTGATGTAAGCTGGGCTTTTCTAAACTCTCGACGTGATGCTTTAGTCGAAGCTAGCCAAGAAAACTTTAATCTGGAGTCAGAGTTAGCTAAGGTGATGGAGACTATTGAAAAAGCTCAACAACCGCTGGACTTCCCTTCACCCGCGATTGAAGTTTTCGAAGCTGAAGTTCCCGGAGTTGATGTTCCCGTAAGTGAAGTTCCGGTGAGTGAGGCTCCCTTGGCTGAAACTTCTGCAGTTGAAGTCCCCATGAACACTAAAATTGCCTCGGGTGATGCACCCTCTTCAAGCTCAACCGTGCCTCTTGTTGCAAGTCAAGTTGAAACTTCGTCTATTGATACTCCAATAGCTGCGGTTGAAAATCAACCCGCTTCCGTTGGCGATGCTATTCCAGTTGAGTCCACTGATGATCCTTCTTCAGTCCTTTCCTCTTAGTGAAAAAATTTACATCTGTTTAAATTCCCTTTTTGTAGGTACCTGTTTGGAAAACTGTGTTTAAAGTTCTTGGATTCATTTGAGAGTTTTTGTAATCAAACCCTTGGATATCACTTGAGGGTTAATTTTTAGAAGTACAAGTCCCCAAGTCTTGTTATGGGGCATTTTGTGTAAACAATTCGATGACTATGTTTATACTTAGTCTTTAGTTTTAAATATTAAGAAGTTTTTATTATCATTAAACTTCCGTATGTTCTA